GGGAAGAAATTGGAATGACTCGGGCCGCTAAAGCGTTCTGTCTCAGGACAGTATACCTACCTAGGCTCAACCAGGCCAAGAGTTATCTAGTAGAAAGATTACCACTTGATGCTTACGAGGATCAAGTTCTATACTTGCCTCTAAAAAACTGTAAATAAATATTCTAAGGGTTAGTTTTCCTAAAGAGCAGGAATAATATTTGATTAATCGTATTTCTAGTCTGCTTTTTCACCAATAAGTTTGCAGTTGGCAAATGCTAGCTTTATATCCATGTCATAAATCTTAAAGGTGAGTTATAGGACTTATTCTTACCTAAAATATATTTATAGTTCAAGTTTGAGGATTAAATAAAATAACAATTCAAAGTTTGCTATTTAACACTTTTAAGACTAAAGTTAAAAATAGGGTTATTCAATGACAAGTATGTCACATGATTATCTCTGCTGTTTTTAAAAAGATTTAGGGTCTATCTCTTTTTGTACCCAACATCCTCTCAAAATTAAAGAAACATTTAAAAAACATCCTATATATCTAAATCTTAATTCCTTTCTCCTTCATAATAGTTAATATTCTAATTTCTTTCTAACTCTAACAAGCAGGAACGTCAACTAGCTACCACAAAAACTTTTTCTTAGAGAGTTAAAACCAAAATGAAACTGAAAAATGTATAGAGAGCGAACTCTCACTCAGATTGTTTGTATACTGTGAGTTGTTAAAAGAATGACAGGATGTGAAAACAGTCAAATATTAATAGCATTTTGGTGAAATTTTTTTTTAAAAGTGACATAAAAACTTTGACTCTCCTGAACTCTTACACCAGATGTTCATTGGAAATTAATATCTTGTTTATTATATCCTTTCATCTCTGGAGACAGAATTGATTTTTATTCTTATAACTACTACAGTGTACATAGCAATCTGCTGGTAAGCTTCTTAAGCTACAGGTCCCTGGACCCCACCCCAGAGATCCTGAGTGGGCCTGGGAGGGAGCCTGAGAATTTCCGCTTCTATTGAGCTACCTGGTGATGCTAAAGTTCTGGGGCCAGGCACTGGGTAACACTCCTGCAGACTACATTGCTATGCTGTGTCAATCAGATTTTTACTCTAAATCTTGTTGAAAGTGTGAAACCTTTAAATCTAATTTGAATGTACATTCTGACTCAGAGTTAGTCACCTGACTCAACTCCACACTTTTTCTGTTTAGTAACAAGCCATTGATGGTCATTCATCACTTGGAGGATTGCCAATACTGCCAAGGTAATTTCAGCTCCTCAGATCGTATTATATTTCTAAGAGAACTAGAAAAAGTGGCCTGGCAAAAATTGTTAAGACAGCGCTCAGACAATCCCATTTAAAAAGAAAAAGAAAAAGACAACTGCTATATCACCATTTTACTCAGTGCTTAAAGACTACAATGATTGTTAGCAATCTATTGAATATGTGTATAATGTTCAGAATTTTATTTCCCTCTTCCTCCCACCAAAAAAAAAGAGGGGGTGGAAAAACTTGCTATTTGCACCAATGAGTTACATGAAATTATAAAATTGGTGGCTTCATTAATTGGATTATATTCTGATATCTTCATTGGCAGACTCTGTCCATCATTGGTTCTCAGTGAGAGACAAAGTGGCCATAGGCTAATGAACTGTTTATATCCAAGATATAAATACAAACAAGTAGAAAAGACTAGTTTGACTTTGCTATGTTATTTATATTGAAGGTGCCTTTATCTGTAAAGCTAACTGGTGTTTATTATGTTTTCCCCAAAAGAACTCAAAAAAGTGTTTGCCCAAAATGAAGAAATACAAGAAATGGCTCAGAATAATTTCATCATGCTGAATCTCATGGTACTTGACTTCTACAATGTTTTCTTAATATCACAATTTAATGGAAAGCTTAAATCCCTTTTTTAAAATCTATTATTGAGACAAAAAGAGGTCTAAAAAAATTGGTAGGTATAAAAGATTATATGAACTTGAAAAGGCCAAAATATACAATGTAATGAAAACCTTGTTCACATAAAATATTTTCAAAAACAACTGCAAAAACAATGCAATCCAATACCAATTATTTTTTCTTCTCTTCCTAGCATGAGACCACAGATAAAAATTTATCACCAGATGGGCAATATGTGCCTAGGATCATGTTTGTGGGTATGTGTATAATCTCATTCCATCAGGTTTACAAAATCAATAGCATTCTTATTTTATTTATTTTTAAATGCTAGTTCAAGAGAAGTCGTGTCTAACCCAGTAAATAATAGCTCTTGTTAGTTCTATAATTGAAATTCAATGCATCTATTAAATCAATAGCCCCATATACTTTCAGTAAAGTTCCCCAAACTGTATTGACAGAAAACTATGACCCACTAAAATGGAAAAATTCATGTGAACTCATCATAAACTTGTTTAACATTTATTTGTTTTAGATTAAGAGGCAAGAATGATTTTTAAAACATTTAGATAATAAATTAATGAATTATTTTTTTCTTTACAGATCCTTCTTTAACAGTCAGAGCCGATATAACTGGAAGATACTCTAATAGACTGTACACATATGAACCACAGGATTTACCGATATGTAAGCATTCACAGATTATCTTGAACAGTGGTACTAGCTGACACTTGCCTGTTAGAAAAGTCAATGATGCCCTACATCAGTGCTTCCCCACAAACAGTGCTATCAACAAATCAAAATCATTGGGTTAGATGATTGTGGTAGTGTTTAAAACTGCAAATCCTTGCACGACCAGTATGGCTCAGTGGTCAAGGGACAACCTATGAACCAGGAGGCCATGATTTGGTTCAATTCCCAGTCAGAGCACATGCTCAGATTGTGGGCTTAATCCGCAGTGGGAGCATGCAGGAGGCAGCCAATCAGTGATTCTCTCTCATCATTGACATTTCTATCTCTCTCTCCCTCTGCCTTTCTCTCTGAAATCAATAAAAATACATATTTTAAATAATGCAAACCCTTATCTCCCATCAAAATCAGAATTTCTAGGCACCTCAGAATCTCTTTTTTAACGGGGATGTATAATAATTTTCACAATCACTAATTTGGAACCACTAAAAAGAATAGAATACACATTAAAATCAAACTTTAAGAAAGCCAGCAAACATATATGATTTCCTCACAGTGGTAATAATTAAATCTTTTTCTCTCCCTTTAATGCCTGTAAGCAAGGAGATGCAGTCTGTTTTGGGATTTTAATCTAATTTTTACAACATTCATTGTCAATTATGTTTAACTAGAGGGCTGGTGCATGAATTCATGCACCAGTGGGGTCCCTTGGCCTGGCCTGCGGGATCAGGCTGAAACCAGCTCTCTGACATCCCCGAGGGGTCCCGGATTGCGAGAGGGTGCAGGCCAGTCTGAGGGACCCCACCTGCGCACAATCAGGGCCAGAGAGGGACACGGGAGGTTGGCCAGCCACGGAGGGCCTGCGGGAGGGCTCCAGGGCATGTCCAGCCCGTCTCACTCAGTCCCAATCAGCAGGACCCCAGGAGCAAGCTAACCTACTGGTCAGAGCGTCTGCCCCCTGGTGGTCAGTGCACATCATAGTGAGCAGTTGAGCGACCTTAGCATATCATTAGCATATTATGCTTTGATTGGTTGAACGGCCGACCAGACAACCAGACACTTAGCATATTAGGCTTCTATTAAATAGGATAAGACAACTATGCATGTCAAATCCAATGATACAGATACAAAATGATTAATTTAAAAAATAGACACTCTCAAAACCTCTTATAAAACTGTTTATTTTAACATAAAGTCGATTAACCCTATCTGAATGGTATAATCCCTAAAAATAAATATACACCTTTAGCATAGTGTGTGTGTGTGTGTGTGTGTGTGTGTGTGTGTGTGTGTGTGTGTGGTGTGAGAAAAGGAACTATATTGGATGTCAGGAGTTCAAATGAGGTCCATGAAGGCATAATATTCTTTAATGTTGTAAATAAATTCCCATATTTTCATAGCCATTAATTTAAATGGGCTAATTTTAGATTTCAGGGGTTAAAAGAGTATAATATCTGGTATTTTCATTTACTAACAGAATAATATGTTTTTATTGCAGTGATAGAAAACATGAAGAAAGCACTGAAACTTATTCAATCAGAGTTATAAGAGATTACCTTGAAGAGGTCAAATGTCATGAAGACGACCTTCTGGTGAACTCACTAATATTAAAGGTGTAACTATATGGACTCTGTAATGTTACAATTTAGATTTTTAATGTGCTTGGTATATTCTTATGAAGGTAAAGTTATATTTCAATAAAGGTCAAAACCTGAGCATAACAATGTAGTAGCAGCTTGACTTCTGTCTGCATCAGTAGCAAAGGAAGCTGGCCACGAACTGGGAGTTAGGTTAGGGTAGAGAAAGGGCCTCCAGAAGAGGTACCTACATACACTGGTTGTCTTTATTTCCTCACCTCCCTATCCCTCCACCATGTGATCTCATCTTAATTCTGCTCCTCCACTGCACTGAACCTGCTGGCATAAATCATAAGGAATGTGCACGCTGCCAGAGCAAATGGAGAAACTTCTGTGCACTTACTATTTGAACTTTTAACAGCATATTTCAGAGTTAACCTCTTACTTCTTTTCTTGCCTTAAATTTAAAAACTAATTGTAAAAAATTAAAAATATACTTAAAAATTTTAACAATGTGTTTTCATTAATTATTGGGTGGATATTTAGTACTTTTAATAATTTTAAAGAAAAGTGTAACTGCCTCTAGAAGACTGAAAATGTTCCCCAGGTAACTAGCAGGAGAAGATTACATCCCTTCTGAAATTATCAAACACACAACTGCCAATTCAATCTTCACAGGAAGGTCTGAAGGATCAGTGCCATGTCTTCTATTCCTTTAAATTCCTAATTTTTTAATGGAAAAACTTCCCAGAATCAGCTGGGAGTAATTCTCAGAAGTGAGAGAATGTTTGAGATAGACTGAAATTTTCCCAACCCATAGGATTTGATTGCATTGAAATAATTTTAATTGAGATATAAAATTGCACTTTAATATGAGATAGATGTGTAAAAATACAATGTATATGATACAGATTTTTTTTTATTCATTTCAATGTTTCATGATTCAGAGGAAAAAAAAGTTTTCCAGGTTTTATTTATCACTATTTTATTCATTTTAAGCAGATTTAGTATCTGACTTATTTGGATATGAGGAGGCTACCTGACCAATAACTAGATATCAGTGCTAGATAGCCATGTGGAAAAGAATATTAAATATCTTATATTTAATTTTTTAAATTTTAGATCAAAGTCTGAAAGTTGATTTTTTAATGAATGCTAAGACACCCAAGTGCATTGGCATTCTCTAACTTAATGATTTAAAGTATGATGACTAAAGTAATACAGCTGATTCCATTGTTGCAATAGTAATGCAGAGGCAGAAAATGTCAGTGGTCATTTGCCGTGAAGTAAGAAAAGGTCAGTTGCTCTTTTAAGAACTAATAAGTAAAATAAAATGTTCACTATTTTTCCTCAATTAGTGTAAAAATGTTACTAAATAATAAATTTATTCTTCTTTATCATAAAAATGTATGTGCCTTTGTATTTTAATATACATATGATTATATGTTATTGTATACAATGTAGTTGTGGATATAATCATATATATTTAATATTTAATATACATATCCACACAATTATTTGGTTAGTTACATTAGTACAATCTTGTAACCAATTCAGTTTTGTTCTCTACCCTACTTTAACAGTTTATATCCTACTTGATATTTCTATATAATTTCTTCACTTTATGAAACTACTGGTTTAGATTTTATCAATTCTGAGGTTACCCCTAACTTCAAAATGTAGAACTATCTTTAGAATATATATATGGGGTGGAGCAAAAAGTTGGTTTACAGTTGTTCATATGGACATATCATATGGACAATAATACACTAACAAATAATAATTCAAGACTAAACTGTGTTTCACATACTTACAGATATGAAACTACTTTTGCCGCACCCTGTATGATTTCCACTTCTCTTAGCCTTGTAACCTCCAAAAATTATTTATTACTTTTCCAAGGCATCCAGTGTTAAGAATTAAATCATTAACATCAACTACCTGAAATAGTATGCACATCTCTGTGTATAGGGCTATTCATAAAGGAGTGTTCAGAGCTCTCATTTGCATTTTAAAGAGATATAGCACTCAAAAAAGTTACAGA